CAGAAGTCATGAGGCCGATGCTACTTCTGACAACCAGAACCCTTTCATGGAGCGGGCAGCCGGGAAGTAACATCCTCCTTCATACCTATAAAAACACACCAGACCAAATTATTCAGGGTCTAATCCTTACTACACCTAATAACGCTCTTATCTCCTCAATCAACTCTTCTTTCAATCGTTTATCACCTTGCACCATTGAAGCAAAAGGTTTGAGCTCACGAAACATTATTCCTGGTCTCTTGAAACCCCGTACTAAATTACATATTGGAGCTCTTAATGTACGAACCTTATGCCTAAAAGGGCAACAAATTTCGAACCTTAATCTCTCCAATTACTGCAAGACGAAAGTCACCGATGGTTGGAGACCCTGAATTACATTGCTCAAAATCGTTTGCAATGGCACAGGTGCATCCACTCTTTGTGCTCTCTAATCCTAATCTTCTGGATTCGTCAACACCTCTACCTATGTATTTTTAAACTGATCTCACTGAATTATACTTATTGATTAATATCTTCGAGCCCTAATCTTCTTCATTACCATTAATACTTCTACTATCTGTAGCACTATGGGATTTGAATTGACAATTGCATCTCTGTGCTAATGTGGTATGGCAACTTGAACTGATGCACTTAAGTAAGAATTTCTATGTTGCTGTCGTTGATTGACTGATTATTGGAATAGACTCAGATAAACAGAACATTTGTTTAAAATAATCAGTGTTTTGAAAGATCATAGATTGATTGAAGTTATACATTAACACCGCTGGATACTGGTTTAGTGTTTACTCATGAGAATAAAGGTACTGAGTTGTATTTATGCATGCGGAGTCGTGGGTGTGTAGTGCTGAGGAGTTCAGGTAGTAATCTAGCCAAGACTATTTGTGGAATTCAATAGAAATTTTGTCACTCCAACATATTTGAACGAAATAAAAAACACATAATACGTGATTGATCCAGTCAAATAAATCTGACTAGTATTAGTAAGTAGGGTCTGCACCTTATAATTATCTAAGATTACTAAGGCTTTCATCATCAACGTGTGCTAAGTGGTTTTCGTTAAATAAAGGGCAGTGACGAGACAAATCATCACTTTAAACTATGATTAAACCATTCCTTTCATTTTTTGGGTTTGCGCCTTATTTGCATGATTCAATGGTGGTAAGAAGTAAGCAAAGAGTTGGAGTGAAACTTCTGAAAGCACGACTTTACTTAATTCCATACCTTCCTTTAACAAGTTTAGAAATCAATAAAATAATCGATCATTTAGTAGGATACTTCATCAAGTAACAGGATAACTGAAGTTTCATTTAACCGCCGCGAATATCTGCTCTGTTAAGTTGACAGGAATGGTGAATGTGTGAAATGCTCTTCAGATCAGACTAAATTATTAGTTAAACCCTGACTACTAATTTTCTTCAGCACTGATCATCGAAAACGGTTTTTAACGTTGCAAAAACTACTTTTAACGTAATAATATATCATCTGTTAAGATGGCTTATTTTTCCCAGCCATGTGAATATTTCAGATGTCTTTTAATAAATCATCTTACTTCTAATTCTTACGGTCCTATCTGACCATCATGGTGATTATTACTAAAATTTCTCAAGACAAAGCGGCTAGGAATATCGTTTCGTGTACTCAAATAGTTAGCGCTAGTGGTGTGAGGTGAAAAAAGTATACGAGAAGGGTCAGTCATGGAGTTATTAAGAGGTAGATAAAATGTTGGATTGCGACCTGGTTGATCTCGTGTGCTGTTACACGTGAGGGTGGATGTCACTTCCAGGCTATTCACAACATGGACGAGTTTCTTGAGAAACCTGAAAAGGGAGCTGGATTAGCGTTGGTCTTAATGGCCTGGGAGCGTGACCGCTGAGTCTAAGGGACCACTGCATAAGGCTGGTCATCCAAGACATTTTTTACGGGAAGATTTAAACTGCTAGCTCTGTTCTTGAAAAGGCCTTACCGCTGGAGATGGAAATCCATGGGGTAAGCTGAGGTGTGATATTTTTAGGGTCGACCTTTTTTAACCCCTATTTTCTTTGTGAGAAAGCAGCATCGCTGCAGATGCTGGTTGTTTGATGGAAATACTTTATTGCTGTCACACCCCTCTACAGTCAACAGTACGGCTTCACTCTCAGACCTTGAGTTGCAAGCTTAAGTTGTACCATTCTTCAGTCGACCTACCTAGCTTGCTAGAACCCAAACGGACATGTGTTCCAGTCAATGTAGCTTGGTTAGATCACTACAATAGACAAGCTCGATCACCACGTGAAGATAGCAGCTATGGTCGGGTAAGATAAAGTAAAACAAATCTTACTTAACTTAAGTTTAATCCATTCTGTAAACTTCTGAATTGGTGGGTACGATAATAGAATTTGAATGATAAATATATACCTTTTCTTTTTCATCCGTACAAAGAACTCATGTGTCGCATCGATACTAACAACCTTTTAAGTAGAAGTAAGCATGTAATAAAATTTAGTAAAACATGTAATAAGCCTTGACTTTTTCTCACTAGTATTATTATTTTTCTAAATAAAGAAAATCCATCAATCATTATCAAAGTTTTATTTAGAAAAAGAAAATATACCACAATTAAGTCACAAAAATATGTTATGTTTTTTTTGTATATACAATGAAAATATACACAGAGTAAACAGTCATTCCTAGTTGTTTCAATGGTTCGTTTAGAATTCAACTTTTTAGATTTGTTGAAAATTAGAAACATTTTTATTCGATTCTTTGATGCATCAAACTGGCATTATTCATGGTTGATGAATGAATAACCAGTCAAGTTGTTGACTGTTTCAAAATATACACCTTCCTCCGTATGTAGTAGCATTTATGCTTTTCAAATGTCCAGTATCAACATAAGTTGGATGGTTCACTTCATAATATCCATTCTGAATATAACACCTTGAGGATTGTTTTCTCATCTTGTTGAATAAATTTCTCAATGGTTAAGTAGATAAGAGTAGGTATCTGATATCTGATTGTTAGTTTAAATAATAAAATCTGAGCATATATATCATCCATGTAAGGTTGATTAATTTATTCTTCGATAGAATAAATAGGCTACAACTAGTGCAGGTGTAGCATAACATAATAAACGAGTAACTGCATTTTTGGAGTTGGATTTAATCTTTAAGAGAGAAGCAAGAAAAAAAAAGCAGGTCATTTATTATCAACATGAAATATAAAGCAATTTATTACAATAGAGTTGAACAGTTGACTGAGAAGTACATTTTTTAAACAGTATTCCTGAGTTTTAACATTCAAATGCTTGAGGGGTTGTTTGGGACGTCAGATCCCCGGAACTCATTTGGAAAAGGTCCTAATTTCCAATTTTTTGTGTTTTCGCGCATAGGCTGTCTAGATGACCTTGAGCCTACATTTCCCACCCGGAAAATCCTTGACTGTTGTTGGGTGATGTGCTATTTTTGTGGCTCGCCAAAGGACGTTTCTATCATGTTTAAATAAACTCGGATTGTATGCTTGTCAACCTCATATTTTTCGGGTGCTTGTAGAATACACTTCCTACGCCTTATCAAGACTTTTTATATAGTTAGCACGGCCGGAGACAATCGAATTAGAATAGCCTATCGTGTCGCTGCATCATTTGTCTTCACTGTCGTTAGTGCAGGGTTGATTAGACCTAGCATAGGATTCAGTATTTGGAAAAGTTAAGTTGATCACTTTCTAGATGTTAAGTTTCATTAAAATAATGGGTTGATCATTGCTAGATCACCGTTAGAAACCCAGAAGCACTGGACGGTCGTTTCGTCTTAGTAGGGAGCTTTTTTCAGTGCACATACACGATCCTTGCTCTCGACAGTCGAACCTAACCCCTATTCTATTGAATTGGCATCCGACCTTACCTGATGTTTTCGGTCGGTAACTGCCTGCAGCTGACAGGGTGAGGTAGCGCAGTTCTTTGGATTAATTAAAGTTAGACATTAACACATTTGGATGCCGAGTCATTGGTCTAGAATTTAGGCGTTCACACATGAGACCAAAGGTTCGGAGTTATATTCCCGAAAGCGGGAATAATGGATGTGCACTGTTGATGAGTCCTATACTCAGATGAAACGGTTGTCCAGTGCTTGAAGGTTTCTGACAATGACTGATTCATTATTTCAATGAAACTTAACAACTTGACAATGAAAATTTAGTTATAAGTAGCGATATCAATGGATATACATATATCATTGTGTAAGGTTTTATTTTTCAAGTCTCCATAAAATAATATATCAGTTTATCTTAATTAAGACCGGTATAAAGTAACGTAACTGCGGTCGAATACATCAAACAGATATTCAAAAAATGCAGATACAAAAATAAATCATTCTAAATCCAGAAAATCTGAAGTTAAATATACAGTCAGTCGATCACAGAGTAGTGATTAATACCTGTCATCAAGTAACTGTAAATATTTCAATCTTACGAGAAATTAGCTGTCTTCCGAATAGTTCGATAATATCATCTCAGACTGTGATACTAGATGATTCTAGTATAAATCGCATAATGAACATCATTTCCTTCAAGATTACAGATACACTATTTTGACGAGTGTCAAATAGCACAGAACCTAGGTTTGTCATCTCTTGTTGAATACCTTCAACAATAAATAAATAAATTCAAACATAAGATGGATATCATTTTCTGCTCGACATCACTACTCGAAACACAAGTTATTTCGTTGTAACAGTGACTTTGCAATATAAACCAACTAACCCTCTCCCTAAAAAATGTTTATACTTTTTGTATCAATTAATTAGTGACAGAAAATAGGTAATTTTCCACTACTCTTTGCTGCAGCAACAATAAAAAAACACATTAAGACATCATTGAAAGTGCATTTGCACTAACTACTTACAAATACTAGTTCACAAAAATCAAATCTATACTTGTCAATGTCCACATTAACAGTGTAAACAAACTTGCTTGCATACATTTGGACAAGTAACTTTTATAATTTACCAGTTAACTTATAATCTAAATCATTTTTTTATAAATTTCAATTCAATATCTGTAAATGAATCTAAATAACTTTGTTTCAATTGATTGCATGTTGAATTGTCAATTAAGCACTATAAATAACAAAACAAATTTCTATTGAACATTTAAACATGACTAAATTCAATTTGTTCAATTTTTTTTCTGTTTGTTCTAATGTCTATAAACTGGAAATAAGATATTTGATTTTAGTTTTTGTTTTAAATATTGTAAATTAATAATGCTTTCATTTATTTTTCTTTTCTATTGAACGAAAAAAGTGATTGCTTTCTTTTGTAATGATATTAAACTTGACTTAATAATAATAATAATAACAAAACAGAAATCATTGTCGATTGACTGAGAAAGGAAGGAATGGAATTCTTTACAGTAAGTACGTGATCAAGTTTTTATTTATTCCTAAGAGTTATTTCAATCTAGCTGTTGGTGTTAAGAACTGCAGATAAAAAAATCTCTTTTTGGCATAAATGAATCTTGAGCATAAAGTATCAACGATTTCATTTTATGAAAATCTTATCGGTGTACAAATTGCCAATTAGTCACAGTTAGACTAAATGATAAACATGGAATCAACTGTCATTGAATGCTAAAAATTATGATCGACCGGTTAATCGAACACGGATTCAATCATTAAAAAAATTTACATGATATACAGAGGAAGATGAACATGAGAAATAATTTGCAGTCAAAAATGATTTTCATTATATTTTGTTAACAGATTTAAAAGTAGGCATAAAATGAATTTTCGGGCAGGGTTTTGAAATAATCAATCAATCATTGTTTGACCACCATTAAAAACGTGCCTGGAAACACTGGACGGCCGTTTCGTCCTGGTATGGGACTCATCAGTAGTGCGCATCCACGACTCTTGCAACCTACAGGATTCGAACCCGGGACCTTCGGTATTGTGCCTGGACACCTAACCATCAGACCACTGGACCGGTATCTAACGGTGTTAATGTCGAACTTTGATTGATCTAGGGATTTTGAGCGACCTCACCCATTTGTCTTTGGTAGTTACTGCCTACACCCGACAGGGTTGAACTCCATTGGTCACGTCTTCTCACTAGAACTCCGAGAATTTCCTCACGAAGCTAGTCACTAGTGAGCACTGTTACGATATTTTGAGGCAGAGTTTTAGAGGTTTGTGTTTTTTACACATTTGAAATCAATCAATCATTGTTAGACCACTATTAGAAACCTAGAATTGTCAGGAAAGCTTATAGCCAGATATTGACACTGTCTAGACTACTCTCAGAAGACATTTTGATGAATAAAAGAAAATTTCAACTAATCACAGCAGGGTGCTTCATTGCTTCATTGTATACACTTCATGAGAAACTAACTTTTTATGGGGCAATTCACTCAACTATTGAAATAATTCCAACCAAACTTTGTGTGTACTTCATCATTTCAAGCTATAAAATATTGACATTGTATTAAAATTTTATTTCTAGATAAGATCTTTATTCTGTCAATGGATCATAGAAATCCCAGTTACGTGCTGTGTAATAAATATCAGTTCAAAGATAGTTTATTGAATTAACATTCTGAATTCTCAAATGTTTGCGTAATCATAGAGACTATATTTTGACAGTCTATTGTTAGCTATTGTGTTCATTATCAAACAGAATTTGAAATGTCTTATCAGGATATAAGATTTCTGTCATACTGATTTTGTGAATTTGAACATGGATTTAATTCAATAATCTAATAAGTATGCACTGTTGGTTGTACATATTTTGGCATCTTCTTTTGAATTTACAATTTATTTGAAAATATGAATTTCTTAATGTAATTAATTAGAAATAGTACGTTTTTTTTCCAGACAATGTCTGAGTAAGTTAATATATATATATATTTAAAATTTCATGTATTCTATTTCACATTTTTAATAAATATACTTTTATGAATTGAATGATTGACAGGAGCCAATGTCAATAAAACCAAGTGTACAACTGATTATTAATCATACTAAATAATTCAATATTCAATGTTCGAATTTGTGTAAAAAAGTGGAAAGCGAATAAATGCAATATTTTGAAGAATAATTATTACTACTAAAATCACGAATCAATCTTTAGTAGACCAACATTAAAAACCTGAAATCACTAGACGGTTGTTTCGTCCTGGTATGGGATTCATCAATTGTGCACATCCACAACTCCCGCTACTCGTTAGATTCCGGCCCAGTGGTCCAGAGGTTAAGCCTTTGCACTCAAAACCGAAGGTCGTCTGCTCGACTCTTGCGAGTATTGGGAGTCATGGATGAGTCTCACATCAGGGCGAAACGGCCGTCCAGTGCTTCCAGGTTCCTAATGGTGGTCTAACAATGATCGATTCATGATATCAATACAAAACAACAGTCTTCATAACTCTATAATGAAAATTGACGGATTCCATTGAAAATCATATTAAAATCATAAGCGACGTGAAGAAAGCATGAAAATTTTTGACATCTATTATGCAAACTATGAATTAATTGTGAGTTATTTAATTAAACATTCTACTTTTGTTCACTGAATCATATACAGTCAAAATATTAGTTTCAGTCAGTCAGTCATTTGCAACGTAGAACTTCGTACGTATGTACATAAGTTCATGTTGCCATACCACATTAGCACAGAGACGCAAATGTCAAGTGAAATCCCATAGCGATAAACATAGTAGAGGTATTAATGGCAATGAAGAAGACTAGGGTTTGAAAATATTATTCAAGAAGTATAATTCAGTGAGATAAGGTTAGAAAGACAAAGGTAGAGGTGCTGATGAATCCAGGAGATTAGGATTCGAGAGAACACAAAGATTGGATACACCTGCGCCATTGCAAACGATTTTGAGCCATGACGTTCAGGGTCTCTAACCATTGGTGACTTTCGTCTTGCGAACCCAACCAGGTAGTCTACATTTACCAACAGGAGTCAGTCCACTTGTCAGTGCCATGTTTTGGTCTGGCCACCACTAGCTTTCTTCCAACCTACTCCTATACCACAAAACATAGCTCGTCGAGGTAGTCGGTGGTTGGACATTCGTAACACATGTCCCAACCACCTCAACTCATGAAGTTTCAATACTTCATCTACTGATCTGCCATCCTTACCTTGTTTAACTTTTATAATTAGATTAAATGATATTAACACTATGATTCATGTGCAAAAAAAAACCAGATAAACTTACTTTACATCTCAAATAATCCGAATGTTGAAATGTTTCCATTGGATTTGAATTTGAAAATGTTTTGATTAAGACCACTTCATTTGATAGACTATCGAAGGTTCTATATGAAAATCTCTCATTAATTTCATCGCCTATATCAGCCAATTCTTTTGCCAATGCATTAAACAAACTCCATTTACGTTCAAGTTTGTATTGAGTGGAACTTGTACTAGCCTTATGTTCCATTCGCTGTAAATGATATGCAAAATAGTTTGTAAAAGATTTATTCATACAAAATTATTTAAGAATTAAAATATTACAAGCTATGGAAAAGATGAAAGACTAATTCTGGAGAATAAGGAAGGTTTTATTGAAGTGTATATTTGAAAGGCAATCAAAAATGCTCAAAAGCATTTATATGAATTGGTCTCATGGATTTAACATACTGATTAATGCAGCGCGGAGAAAAATTTATAGATACATAGTTAAGTAAGCTAGTTTACTGCTAAGCTAGTGTGTTTTAAGTTTGGTTCATCAATAAATAATTAGGATTAATTTGCTTGTAACATAAGTTCAACACGATATCAATTTGCATTAAGCGGTTGTAACGATTGCTGAGTCACTTAGAAAACATGAAGGTCCTGGGTTCGAATCCGGCCAGTAGAAGTAGTTGTGGATATGCAACGCTGCTGAGTCCCAGACCAGGACGAAACAGGCGTCCAGTGCTCCCAAGTTTCTAATGGTTGTCTAACAATTGATTCATGATTTTTTGAGTAACATTACCAAGTTACAGATAAAAATTAATTTCATTCCAAATATTTAAATGAAATAGGTTAGATAGATTTATCAAACCACTAGAGTAGCTGAATCTAATTCGTTAGCAAACGGATCGCATACAATATAACCGTTAGTTCGTCAATTTTAATTGAGTACAAACTACAGTAACAGCTATAGCACAGATAACTTTAGTCAATAAATTCTAGTGATACTGATAACTTTCAAAACTTTTCCAAGATATGATCACCTACAGGATGGTAACCTGTATATCTTACATAAAAGTGATTATATTCGATCAATTATAGTAAATAATTCAATTATTTAATATTGAAAAAGTACAAAATCAATCATTATGTTATACTTTAATTTACAAAGTCTCATGATGCTCCATAATCATAGCTGGGAGGCGACAGATTCAAAAAATGCGTATATATATTAGTCCACTGTAAATTGTTCACTTTGTAGATTGGTATTAATCCATTTGTAAATTATTCCAGTGGTGGTCAGTTTTTTTCCTTGAATAATAAGCCAACGTCTACATCAACAGATCCACAATGATTGATTTTGCCACTTGAGTGTAAACTGTTTTTTTTCGTATGTTCAACCATTAATATTCATTTTAAGGTGATTAAATGAACCAATGACTAGTAAACATAGAATTTTCCCTCTACCTCAATTCCCTTTTTAGCATACGATCTTAACAGATCAGGCATGGAAAATTATCAGGCTAACTATTGATTAGTCAGACAACAACTTGATTCTATTGGTTAAAAATGATCTAGGGTCAAATAATACAGACTATGTCCCAGTATATATGGATCAACAACAGTCAGATAAGGTCAATTTTCAGTCTGACCCCAGCAATGAAATACTGTGATCTAGAATGTTTAAGTCCTAAATATATAGGAACACTGTTTGTGTTTTATTTGAAAAAATAACAACAAAATGTTATAAGACATTTAGTCCACAGTTCATCAATTTACCCGCCTAATTTCCCAATATATCAAATACTTATGATGAATTATTGTGTTTATGATTTGTTCGCAGAATATTTATTAACTGATCAATAAGCTAATGTGTTGTCATGGTATCAGTTTTAGTTTATTGCAAGCAATAATAATATCAGGAAAAAAAACAGATTGTAACCTTGAATTGACAAAAGTCGATTAAAACAAGTAAAACATTAATCCCTAGACTACTTGTACTCCAAAAAAAAAATCAATGTTATATTAAATCCCTTCGTTAATTTGATTCAGCCGTAGAATTTTACCAAAGTATTCATAAATCTGACTACTTTTTTTTTCAAATATACGCAAACAAAGTGTCTAATAGTGGTCTAGCATTGATCGATCCATGGTGTCAATGAAACTCAACCATCTCCACAACTCCTGTGAGGTGCAAGAGTCGTGGATGCACACTGTTGAGGAGTCCCTTACCAGGACGAAACGCCGTCCAGTGCTTCCAGGTTTCTAATGGTGGTCTAACATTGATCGATTCATGGTTTCAAAAAAATGATAAATATGTTTAGTAATTAGATATATATATAAATATATATACATATATATATTTATATATGCTTCACTTCTATCTGAAGAAGTGTTGTGCTGATGATGTTATTGTTCAGAAGAAGAACAATGAAAGCTCCACAACCAAAACATCTAGCTCAGAGAATCAAACACCACCATAGTGAGATTATTTCTCTAAAAAAAATTATTATTTAGTTAGAATACAAATAACTCATTAATTATTTACTGTCAGTAAATACGTTAATTTCGATGTTCAATATTGTAAAAACTAGAATTTTATTGAAAATTTAAAATATGAATTATTACTTAAAATAATAAATATATTTTTATACAACTCTATAACTTACTTGATTATTACCAGAGTTCGCTTGCACAAAGGTGTTACGAAAATAGAAAATTGAAATCTTTTAAAAATAAATTGTTTTCTCGACGCCTTTTATTTAAATCGCTTCTGTCTATGAATAAATAAAAAAGAAGTGAGCAGGTATAAACTTTACAATGGTAGGTTAGTTTTAAATCAACAAATAAGGTTACTACTACAAGGTGGTGTGAATAAAAGAAATTTATGTATATATATTATTATAATGATGATAACAGTTATTTGTCATGTCTGAAATTTGTTATTTTTGGGGTGAAAAGATTTCGGAACACAAAATTTTATATGTGATTAATTTTATTTTTATTCACAGTAAACTAGATGACAAAGTCCTATTAAAAATTAATGAGTTAGGAGAGACTGTGTATTTTCTCATGATGATAAACTTGGAATTTCCAGTCAGTAAATATTCTGATTGGTTAGTTGTAAACTTGCGGCTTGTACACAATTCGGGTTAGAAGGTCAATAAAATTTTGCAGCTACTGTTCAAAACTTTAATTTCCAATAATAGAAGGGGTGAAGTATGGTGGAGGTAGAGGATTTTATTATTATTAACTGAGTCGCCTAACGCAAAATTCTATTTACTTTGTGAACCCCTCTTCTTCTTCCTGTCCCCTTCTGTAACATTTCATAATAATAACTCGATGCGTTCATCGGCAAAGGTAAAACTGTTCATATGATTATACTTCTAGGGGGAATTCTTCTTTTTGTAAAAAGAGCACATAGTTGACTAGTATTGTATCTTAACTATTTACACAATTCACAGTTTTCGGATTGTTTGCTAACGAACGTGAATAACTAGGACAATCCTATCTCTCTACTTAATAAGGATGTGTACAGGTTTTGATCATGCATTTGTGTAAATATCGTTAAAATGCATTGAAAATTTCTGCAGAACTATGCATTTGTGTTCATTCATGTAAATGGACTATTAGACCTTGGTATTTTTTTTTATTGCATGTTTGTTTTAGCGGTGTGGCGTTCTCTAAGTTGGATGATTTAAATGTTGAGCATTTTTTGTAATTCTGGATATCCTCAGAGTCTGCTTTATTTGAAAGTGAGGCGTCCAGTTATTTCACAAACGACATGTTGGTTCATTCTGATGGTCGTGTTATTTAGAAATATAATAATCTAAACAACTGGATGAAAAGAATCACAAAAGTTTATTACTGGAAAATTTAACGAAATCAAGGGAGCTCTTAATAATAGGTTCCAAACTTTTCAAGATCTACTCACTGGAGTGGGAACTGCCATGAAGAACAACTGGAAATGAATCGAAGTGGTTTTAGGCCACATGAAACATCATCATAAGGAATGGATCTCTGTTGACATTATGGATGAGAATGAGGAGACGAAGAACAGGAAGACGGCAGTCAATAACAGTCGAACAAGAGAAGCGAAAGCAAAGGTATAGGCCCATTGAACAAAAGCAAACGGGGGAATGAAGTGGAGCATTAGGACTGATAAACGTAAATATATGGTAGATTTAGCAGTGACAGCGGAAAAGGCTGCAACGGAAGGAAACTAGAGATAGCTATACGACACAACGAAGAAGTTCACTAGGAAGTGCAGTAAACTCTAAAGACCAATGAAGAACGAAGAATGCGAATCAGTCACTGACATTGCAGAAGAGCGAAATAGAAGGTTAGAGCACCAACCCAACCCACGCCGAAGCAGTACCTACGGATCTCCTAATTGATGTTGTCCCACCAAAAACTGAAGAAATCATCTGGCACTTAGACATATCAAGAGTGGCAAAGCAACAGGTTCAGACTGAAACAAGACATAAAACTAACTACAAAGAAATTCCGTGCTCTATTCAGCAAGATTTAGAAAGAAGATCATGTATCAACAGGCTGGAAAGAAGGACACCTCGTCAAGATATCAAAGAAAGGAGTTCTCAGGGAAGGTTTTTACCTTGGTGTTGTTAAACCAACTAAAAATTAAGTAGATACCCAACTTCTAGATCAGAAGGCTGGATTCTTTAAAGACCAATCATGTACCGACCAAATCTCACGCAAATCTATGGATCATTTTGGAACAACCAACTGAATGGACAGGATAAAACTGTGGAGGCTTCTCCGATACTGTAGTATATATATATGAGTAGATAGTAAAAATCATACGGATCTCTTATTTTTGATAAGACTGAAAAATTGTTCATGGAGGACAGCTCACAAGCTCATCCCGTTTGAAGACCGGTAACAGACAAGGTTGCTTACTCTCAATCTTTCTCTTTCTTCTGATGGATGACTTGGTTATGAAGACGTTAAAATATGAGCGAAAGAATTAAACATAGTGTACAGCTCGAATGGATTATTTGAAATTCGCAGATGATTTAGCTCTTCTATCCCACTCACGGCAACAAATACAGGTGAAGACGGCCACTGTATCTGCACCCTGTGCAAAAGGCGAAAACCAAGATCCTGCGATACAACACTACTTGTACCAACCAAATCACACGTGACGTAGAAGCTTTTGAAGATACGGAAACCTGTACGTACGCTGGCAGCATCATTGATAAACAAAGTGGATCTGATGCAGATTTGAACACATGGATTGATAAAGGAAGGGCATCATTTTTACAGTTTAAGAGCGTCTGAAACTCAAAA